TCTCCTTGCACCGCTTCTTCAGTCTAGCATAACCTTCTAGCGAAAAATGCGACCTGAAGTTGGATGATCGTGATGCAGTTGTACATGATAAACCCTCTGGTAAGTTCTCCGAGCACTCAGTCTCACTACCTTTCCGCTTCTTCCTCATCAAATCAACCAATCTCACCACAGACAACGAGCATAAGATGTCACTTACATACGGAAATAATGAGTCTTTCTCCTACAAAATCAGAACAAACTAATCAGCCATCAAAGCAACTGCAGAAATACAATGCCATTGATCCAATCAAAATGATACATACAAAAGAGCAAAACCAAAACTTTACCCCACCAAATCCATAGATGTGTACATAACTTCGCAAGCACAATTTAGAAAGCAAAGCAGAGAAGAGTGAAAAAACGAAAAGACGCAACTTCAACGACGCAAAAGCTCCCCCACAGATTTTCCCGCGAAACCCATAACTTTCCCGGAATAAAGATGCAGAATGCTAGATCGAAACAGCAAAAAATCTATACTCAATCCCTTGATCAAAGTACAGAAAGAGGATCAAGCTCAGAAATTAGGGCAGATAACGAACCTCGGGAAACAACCAAAAGGCGTCCTTTTACCGAGACGAATCCGATCAGAAAGACTGATGGGATCGAAATCGAGGCGAAATTGGCAATAAATCAGAGAAGGGAAACAAAGTAGCACCAAATCGAATCCAGAGATTGTAAAATAGCAACGAAGATCGAAGCGGAGAAACCCTAGCAATCTCGAAGAAGCAATATTTGGGGGAAAAAAAATGCTAAGCCTGAATCATATGCAGAGATCCTTTCGTTAGGAGGATAGATATATAACGAGATTGTGTGATTTATATATATCTCTAAACCGGCACAAATGTCGGTCGTGAGAGAACCGGTTTATGATCTTAATTAAACCTTCTCGACTTTCACCGATTTTAGTATTTTTTCACGAGAAGCTTCTTTCGATTCCTTTGCGTATTACTGTATTAGTATGTTTTTAAGTTTTTTCGATAGCGTTATTTCTTTTTTATCGACTATTTTTCTTTTTTCAATTTTAAATTTAATGCAAATTGCATTAGATGGCTAAATGGAGGAAAATAAGTTTTTTAAAAAGAGAATAAGTAACAAGTTTGACTAAAACAAGTAAAATTAACAACCTTTCCAAAGATCGATCGAATTGGCTTAATCGTATAGATCACCAAAGGTTGAAGAAAAATGAAATTGAAATTGAAGATCTACCATGAGGTCCATGACATTCTAAATTGGCAAACAAAAGACAAGTAAAAGTACATAAAAGTCTTTAAAGTTTTCTTTATGCATATATATTGAAAGCTCTCATGAGTTATGACCTAGAAATATAGTTAGATGATCTAGAAATATAGAATAGACCTAGACGACTAGTAAACTAGACAACAGTTTATACTAGTAAAATACTTATTCCCATTTGTTATTTCTTCAATTATTGGAGATATGATTTTAACCAATGTTTAAGAAAGCGCTAGACGTTAAGCGGGCAGTGACTCAATGCCTAATGCCTAGAACGTCTAATCGGAGCCTAGACGATTTAATAGGCAGTCTAAACATTTTACAAAAATACATAATATATTAGATATATATGATAAAATATATAAAAAACCATAATTTATAACTAACAAAATTTATATTATATTTATATTCATCATTTTATAGCCAAATATATAATATTTTACGATTTATATATGTAAAAATTTATATTATTTTATTATTATAATATCATAATATTTTAGGCGGCAAAAACGGTAATCGCTACGGTCTGTGTGGGCCTAGCACCAAAGCGTCGTCTAGGCGAACACCTAGAACGATTTTTAGAACACTGATTTTAGCTGATAACAAGAGATACAAAAATTCTCTTGTTTCTTTTTTCTCCGACAAGAACAACTTGACCACCCTATCCTCATAAAATCAATCAATCTATACAAGATTTCTCCTTATTATGGGCCGGGGTACTAGTTAGTGGAAGAAGCATTAAGTTTGCAAATAATATGGAGAATTTCTTCATTCTCCAACATTTGAAACGAGGAGAAAAGCGACATGAGGTGTGTTGTTGTCAATTCATGGACCATGTGGAGAGTGGAAAATAAGTTGTTCGTGTAGAAGAAGGAAAATTTCATTGTGTCAAAGGAAGATGCAAATAGGGCAGCAAATAAGGACAAGTAAGGACATAGAGGCAACTTTCCACATGAGTTGTTTATAATTAAGAAATCCAATAGACTTGGTCAAAAAATTCATTGAGATCAAAGTATTCATGAGCCAAGAAGGTGAACAAATTAGATCTCGTTAAAACCAAAACAAAAATAAAAACACCCAAAGAAGGCTATTAGGTTTACGAATGATTTCTCTTGTGGATTACATATAATCATAGATACTCACGACAACATCTTTAGCTTCAAACTTTGTCTCCCTCTCTCTCCTTTTCCTCACTTGTCTCCTTTTGGCTTATCTTCACTCTCACGGTCAAGAACAGCCTTCAACTC